TTCTGTATGCAGACAAATTTTGATGCCCCAACTGGGAATGCTCCAATTGCATTAGAATTCACTGGGATGGGAAAGGGTGAAGCATGGGTGAATGGTCAGAGCATTGGACGATATTGGCCGACCTATATCGCTCCAAATGGTGGCTGTACTGACTCTTGTAATTATAGAGGACCTTACGGTGCAGACAAATGCCGCAAGAATTGTGGGAAGCCATCTCAGAAATTGTGAGTATCAAAGAGTCTACGCTAGGTAAGTTTGAGAATTGCTACTACTATAAAATTCTTATTCAGGTATATCCGTCTCACTTGCAGCTACCATGTACCCCGTTCATGGCTGCAATCAAGTGGTAACATTCTTGTATTGTTCGAGGAAATTGGTGGGGATCCGACACAGCTTGCTTTTGCGACTAGACAGACGGGAAGTTTGTGCTCACATGTATCTGAATCACACCCATTACCTGTAGATATGTGGGATTTGGATTCGAAAACAAGAAGGGCTTCAAACTCTACACTATCCCTCAGTTGCCCGTCTCCGAATCAGGTTATTTCTTCAATCAAATTTGCAAGTTATGGAACTCCTCTTGGCACTTGCGGCAGTTTTAGCCATGGCAGGTGTAGCAGCACTAAAGCACGCTCCATCGTACACAAGGTTCAATCTTGTTCTCTATCTGTATGCAAATTTTAATTGTTGCAGCCAAACCATTCTCGTTCATGACAATTGTTAAAACTATACAGGCTTGTGTTGGATCGACAAGTTGTAGTATCTGTGTGTCAACAAGCACGTTCGGTGACCCTTGCAAGGGAGTAAAGAAGAGCTTAGCAGTAGAAGTTTCTTGTGCATGAAGAAATGTCAATAAGCATGCATTATTGGGTGCAAGCGAAGCATTGTCCTCCCAGTAAGTGTTCAAATCAAATAAGCTTTCGGGCAAAGGATTCTTCTCAAGAGAGAAAGGGGGGGGGGGATGTCTCATACCGGAATGTTTCTTGCTAGCACTAGAAAAATAAACGTTAGTGTAATGGTAACTTTAGTGGCATTTCTGCATAGTATCTTTTAGCAGAGCACATGCCTTGTCATAGAAACATTAAAACCACAACTTAAAGAAATCAAAGTTGCTTCAGTTTATCATCGTTATACTACAACATTATGCACCGTCCGAGTTTTATAATTTGAATGACACCATTGTTATTACATCTTAGAAGTTGTAGGTTCAAACGCGTTTCAACAGCCTCCTAAAGGAATTATGAGTAATTTAGGCATTACATAAAAAAATATATGAAACATTTGGATTTATAGCAATGTAGCAAAGAATACTAGTCAAATAGGAACTTACCTTTGAAACAAAAGATGAAACGTCCACAAACATGGAGACACTATAAGTAATGAGGAGAAAACAAAATGAGTAAGCGAAGGAAAAGAAAACGAAATAATATCCTTGACACTATTGATTATCGAAATATAGGAAGATCATATTTTGTTTGTGGTTTGGAACTTGGAAGTCGCTTCACCTACTGCAATTACAGAGTTTGAGGTTTCCTCTCCGAGGTCGCTTGCCATCTTTAGAAAATAACTATGCCTGACAAATACACCATTTACAACCTTGGCTTACCAACCAAAAAGAGGAACATTTAAAACCTAAGATAATATCGTAAGCAAAATTGAAGAACTTAATTGATGGTTAACATCTTTACATACCATCTGGTGTCTGCAGTCAACTCGGGGTGGAAAACAGTTGCCAGCAATTTTCCTTGCCTCACGGCAACTATCACTTTCTTTTCAGGCACATCAGACTCCTAAAATGCTCAAAAATTTAGATGACAAGAAGAGAAATAAATGAAATATATGCGCAATCAATTACTTGGAAATTTATAGGAAAGCATGATTAACAACAAATCTAGATTCCTTTAGTTAAAGGAAAGTCTATAAAATTTTATTGTTTTTGTTTTCGACTACAGCGACGAAGAATTCAATAGAAAAAGTGTCGGTATACCTCTTGAATTTCAATGGCTCAAGTATAGCACCTTATTTGATGGGATAGGATAATCAGCAAGCACTTCAACTTCTGGCCCAACATCAAGGACGGCAGGAGCACGGATGAAAACACCGCGAAATGTCTCAGGGCCGCCTTCTTTGGATGCAAGTTCTGGCACTACAAACTCTGCCTCAAAGCTTTGGATCTAAATAAAATTTGGTTTGTTTAAAAAAGAAACCATTTAGTTCAATGTTAGAAGCTTAAACCAAACCCTCCGAAAAAAGAAAAAAGAAAAAAAAGGTGATCTTAAAACAAATTGGGAAACAAGGGTATGGGGACGTTGAAATCTTCTTCATCACTGTAAATTTGATTTCCGCAAGTGAAAATAGTAAAAGCAAGCTCTATTCTTAGACTCCCCGGATCATCCCCTACTCATTTGACATAAACATTTTCAGTACATCCATACAACACCATTATAGCATCATCATACCCATAATCATTTAACTAGTCCCACAATCATTTGAGGTTTTGGATCCATGTGCTGTGTGGGGTCTTTCTCTAAAGAACATACTTGTGTGTTAAAAGCTGATTAGAAAACATGGAAAATTCACCTTTTTATGGGTTTCCATGGGTTTCCATTCTACAAAATGCATGTTTTTTTGCACTAATATCGACACAACTTCTGCACAGTACAACAGTATACAGTTTATAAGCATCACAGAAGTTATATGTAATTACCTGACTCCCAAAGTAATTTCTATGGACGGTGCAATCCAAACCCCCAACTAGTTCCTGCCCTCCTTTCTGTCCTGAAAAAGTTGCAAAATTTCAAATTCAAAATCTTTTGAATAATCTAATTTTGGAAAATTGCGTGGTGCAAAGAACAGAAACTGAGAAACATACCAACTGCTTTGTTTGCCAAAAATATAAGGCCTGCACAAGTCCCCCAAACTGGCTTCCCCGTTTGCACAAACTCACGCAGCGCTGGAAACTTGCCAGAAATGAAACAATATTAACCAAACAAATGCAAAGGAGAAAATGATGGAAGTTTTCAACCGAGGATGCCACGAAAACTGGCTGATAATGACACACATGAAAACATAACGAGTTGTTTGGTCAGATACTCTTTGCAAATAAGTCATTTAAACACTATAAAAACTCGAATCAGAGTTAGTTTTAGCAATTAATTCATTTATGATCAAAGTCCTGAGCTATATATCCTTCAAAAGATCTAACAATGCCAAACCCATTCAGCCCTTTTGCATAGCTCAAAAACGTCAATCGCTGGTACCAAAGCATCTCAAAATCCACCAAAGTTGCACTTATTTTGTTTGAATTACTACTTCAGTCTAATTGTTTACTCATTCTCAGCCAAAATGACCTCAAATCTTGGCATTCGTTTATGGCTTGAACTAATAGCAAAAAGCAAGCAACAAGAAAACAAGCCAAAACAGATACAAATATAAAAAAATTGAAGAATGAGAATATACAAGATTGTGAAACTCAGCAAGTTTAGCCATGGTGGTGCTTTCTCCACCAGGGAATGATAAGAGAACTGATACTTTGAAGCTGCTCTGGCTTCCTTATCTCCACTCCTTTCACTCCTAACCTCCTTAAGGCTGCAAAAAGTAAATAATAAAATATAACGTTTTCAGCCAAACATGAAAACTCATGAATAAAGCATTTGGGATATCAAGGTTCGAAGATTATTGCCTGCCATGTGTTCGTTGAAAGATCCCTGCAAAGCCAGTACTCCGACGACTCCCATGCTTGATACTTTCAGTCGACGAGAGAAACAGAAACGTCGAGTAATTGTATCGTTTTCTTTATTTCCTTTGCTTTCTATGGTTGTATTTTAACTCTTCGGCAGCCGAAATGTTAACCAATCAATACATACTTGGGAAAAAAACCTGGAGGCTATTGCGCAGTTGGCGTCTTTGCCACCAAACCACCCCACTCACTACAAAATAGAGTAATTATATTTTACTATTAAAAAGTTGTATTTTACGATGAATTTGTGATTAAGTTATCAATTTTTTTTTTGTTTTTATCCTTTGTTCTTAAAAAATTAATAATAACATTTAAAGACAAACACATAATTTTATATTAAAATGATGAATTTTTAAAATTTTAAGAGATAATGAACTTATAAAATTATAGATAAGTGAAAACATATTATCAATTGTAATTTGTAAACACAAAAAAAAAACTACCTAAAATATATATTAATTAAAAAAATTAGGAGTATTTTTAGGGGCGACTGTTCTCACGCACCCTCTTCAATCAATTTTTGGTGACGTTGACATTTCACATAAAGTAATATTATGTTATCATTGAAAAAATATATAAAAAATCATATTAATAGTTTTATCTATTTTTAACGATAAATTATCAAAATATAACTACAATATGATTTTAAGAGTAATTTATTTAAAATAATTGAATAATTAAAATAAAACAGTGAAAGTAATTAGATAACTAAGTCCATAGTTTATCCAATTTTCAAATATCCCCTTGATTATTAGTGTTTTTTAATTAAGTTTTCTAATTATAAAAGATACAAATTAATGATCGGACTTCTTTTTTCTTTTTGATTGATAATTATCGGACTTAAATAATGATTATTTGATTGTTTTCGTTAAAATTTTAATGAAAATAATGTGATAATTAATAATATTGATATAAAAATAAATTTAATTTTAATCAAAAAAGTTAATTTTCAAACTTTTACTAAACAATTAGTTTTCAGTATTGATAAAAATATTTTTTATATTTTGTTTTAAAATTTCATAATTAATTAAAAAAATCTTACTATTTGAATAGAGTATTAGAATATCATACTCTAGCATTTCCCGAACCGAATTTGGATTGCTTTAAAGCCTAAACAATTCGGTGTATTGACGGACATAATTAGTCCTAAACGGACGGTGTCAACGTAATCAAATAAAAAAAACAAATGTTTTATTTAATAATTATGCCCTAAGGACAAAAGGAAAAACCTTGAAAATATAAAACAGCCACATTTTTCTGAAGTTACTTATAAACTAACAAGAAAATCGTTTTTGTTGTTGTTTTGTCGATACACGTCGCCTTCCTTATTTTCTGAATTCAACCCCAAAAGCGCAAGCAAGGAGAAGAAATCGTTAGGAATTCAAAGTTCTGGTTTCTCTGATTCGTGCTCTGACTTGGAAAACAGAGACCGAAATCGTCCCTGGGATCCAAGGTTCAATTTCCTCGGGTTAACAAATTTTCCACTCGGCTTTGAAATTTGTGATTTCCTTCTTCCCTGGTACAAAGACTTCCTCGTCCGTCTTTTACTAATTAAATCAAATTCAAAATTAGGCTTTTTCTTAATGATTTTTAAGATATTTGGGGGAAATATTGGGAGAAAAAGGCCAACTTAAAAAACTGGAGGTTTAGCGATGTTGGGTGTCGTTCGTTGTGGCTTTGATGTCGAAAGATGTTCCTTTCATTTGGCTGAATGGCATCCTTTGGAATAGTAAAGCTGATTAGGGCTTCAAGCCCCCAATCCTTTTTATTTTTAAAATCAGGTATTTTTTTTCAAACCGATTTCCCCTTTTATTTTTTTATTACGTCTTTTTTTTAATGTAGCATGCATGTTTAAGTTACTTAGAAATTTCCATTGACAATTTCTTGATAGGCGGCCTATTGATCTTAGCTTATGCTCTCTTTGCAGGGTTAATAATCATTCTTCATTTGTAACTTAATACTTTCAAGGTTTCAAGTGTTCTAATGTTTAGTAACAGCTTTTCATTTGCTAGAGCAATGGGCTGCTTTGGTTGTTTCGGCTTCACAACAAAGCCCAAACAATCCGCTAGGCCCAATTGCAGGTCAAATTTTCAACTGTCCCAGGAATTTTTGTTAGATGAAAAAATAGAAGATGATGATGAAATAGAAGAAGATGATGATTGCTCATATAATGGTGATGTTACATGCACTGTTCTTAGAGATGAGGCTGAGTCTCTAGGTCGTGGCAAGCGTTCTGAAGAGTTTTTGAGATCTAAACTTAACAATGGATTAGCTTGCAGGCAGTTTCCTGTCAAGGAAACTAACATGATTATTCGCTCTGAGGCAAGCATTGAAATAAATTATTTCACCTCATTGTCACTAAATGCTATTGTGTATGTCAATATTGTTGTCTTGTGGATGTGTTTCCAGCTTGTGAAATATCTTTCCTGCTTCTTTACTCTGATTAAACAAGTAATCTTCATTTCATTGTTTCTGGCTCTTATGCTTAAGAAGTTATGAAAAAACTTGAACCATTTCAGGATGAAAATGGGAATAAGATGATTAATGAGTATGTGCGGGAATATAAGATTGGTTCTGGTAGCTATGGAAAAGTGGTAATGATATTGTTGAAATTCACTTTTTACATAATTTTCATAAAGGAATAAAATGTTAACTATTTTGTTTGCTTTTGTGGCAGGTTCTTTATCGAAACAATGTAGATGGGAAACACTATGCTATTAAGGTTAGTAGCTTGTTTCAGTGGGGAAATGTGTTTCTTCTGAGAGTAAAATGGCTGTAACAATTGAGAACGAATGCTTTCTGGCAATTCAGTTGCATTTATTTGTTTGGCAGCATAGTTTTTAAAATTCAAGAAACATTTGGTTCATTAGTTTGTTATAGTTATAGGTTAAATTTGGTTTCGTGTTTTGTGGATCTAGTACAATTTATGCCAAATTAAGTTCATCTTCCAATCATGGATTGTTTTTTCATTGAATTACAGGTCTTTCATAAGTCTCATTTATTAAAGGCAAGGGTTGGTCCGTCAGAGACTGCAATGAGTGATGTTCTTCGCGAGGTATTGGCTTGATAGTTTGTGGAGAGAGCTACGTTAATAATCTACTGTTGACATGTGAAGTAATTATTATTATTTGGCTGAGTGGCCATATATATCTTATCAATTTCCCTTACAGGTTCTAATCATGAAAATTTTGGAACATCCCAATATAGTTAATCTCATTGAGGTGATTGATGACCCAGCAATGGATCAATTCTACATGGGTATTTATATTTTCCTTTTTTTTTCTTTTCTTTCTCTGGCAGGTGTTGTGCTTAAAATAGTGGTTGAATTACCATTTTTTTGTAGTTCTTGAATATGTGGAAGGCAAATGGGTTTGTGACGATTCTGGTCCTCAAGGAGGCATTGGAGAAGATACTGCAAGGAAGTACCTGCGAGATATAGTATCTGGGCTTATGTACCTCCATGCTCATGTATGATTTAAAACCATTTTCTTTTGCTTTATTTCGTTTATTCTTTCATATTTTCCTATAACTCTATCAGGTGTGTGTGTATTGTGTGTGATATGTCCTACTAAATTCATGTTTGGATAAATATGATAAAGTTTTTTTTTCTGAACTCTTGTCCAGACAAAATTTTCCCGTGTGCTGCTTTTCCTTGTTTTTGTAAAACACAATACTTAAGAGTTAAAATTGTCAGTTTAAAGCAACACCCTAAAGAAGAGAGTTGGCTAGTTGTGAATTGTGATATCTATGATGTATATTGCAGCATGTTCCTGCATGACTGATTCTCCGTCTTTTGATGTTTCAACGAGGAAATTGATTGATCTAGGAAACTTCTAATTTTCTGTGTGGTGTATAATTTCATTTCCTTGAGTTTTGCTTTTTTATCCTTATACTAGAATGGAAAGTTTTTGCATGCTCCCATTTATTTTACATTTTATATCCAGTATTGTGTTTCCTGTGGTAAACAATAAAATCATCCGCTAATTGTTGTGCTTGCTTTGATCTTTTCTTTTAAAAACAGAATATTGTACATGGCGATATTAAACCTGATAATTTGTTGATTACAAGCACGGGTACCGTGAAGATAGGAGATTTTAGTGTCAGCCAGGTGTTTGAGGTAATGATACTACTTCATTCATAAGTTTGTTCATTTGTACACATTACCTCTCTCTCTCTCTCTCTCTCTCTCTCTCTCTGTGGATGAGCCACTTTTTATCTTTTGCTTTTTACTGTTTATCATTTCAAATATTATATTAGACCCGGCAGTTAGTGTAACTGTGTGTGTTTAAGGTTTATGTTGTATGGATTTTGACACATTCATATATTTGTGCTATTTTTTTAATTATTATTTCTCGTGTTCGTATTGTGTAATAGCCAGGTCTATATAATATGATCTAAACTAAAAATTTTATGATTAGACTCTTTTTCTTATGTGAGCTAGGTTTCTTGCAATTGAATAGGATCATGCACATGTACTTGATAGGTGGTCACTTGCGAATTGATTGACAGGTTTAGTGCGTAAAAGGTTCATTTGACTCATGCACATTTAAAAGGGTTTGGTTGAAATTTTTAACAGAATTTATCCGTGTCTGATGTTATTCGGTTGGAAAGTGAGTTCTACAATTGTTTTATTTTCAGGATGAAAATGATGAGCTTCGCCGTTCTCCTGGGACTCCTGTTTTCACTGCACCTGAGTGTTGTTTAGGTCAGTGTTCGGTCTGTTAGTTGAAACTATGCTCTAGTTTTGGAGAAATAATTTGAGGACATAAAATGCTATTGTTTTTACCATTTTTGAAATCGATCAACAGGTTTAACATATCATGGTAAAGCTGCAGACACGTGGGCTCTAGGAGTTACTTTGTACTGTTTGGTACTTGGACATTATCCATTTCTTGGTGAAACACTACAAGATACATATGACAAGGTATGGGATTTGCTCTCTCTCACTTTTACACCTAGCCATGCACGTGTTCTTTCTAGTTGCTCTTTTTTTTTCTTCTCTCACGTAGCCAATGATAACATGATTCATTTTATTTCTGCAGATTGTTAATAACCCTCTAATTCTGCCAAATGACATAAACCCGGCATTGAGGAACTTACTCGAAGACCTTCTTTGCAAAGGTTAGTGAAGTTGTCCTTTCTGAGCTCGGGGTCCTTAATACCCAACACTAATGTTCATCTGCCCCGCCACATGGTTGTGTTGTTCTTGATGGTTCCGAAAATGTGAACATTTTTTCAGACCCAAAACATAGGACGACTTTGAATGATGTAGCAGAGCATTCTTGGGTTAGGGGAGAAGATGGACCTATCCCCCAGTACTTATGTTGGTGTAAGCGAAATAACTATTATTACCTGACGGAAGATCTAATGGGAGAAGCGGAACTCACTTGACAGCGATCCCATGAATAAAAGTTGATATGGATAATAAGTCATTGATTGATCTGGTGATGAGAGCAGAGCAGTACAGATTTTTTTTGTCCCTCCTACGAAGTAATGCTTAAATCTGCAAGGATTGCGAGAATGAAAAAAAACTCCTAATCAAGAGTCCATAGCCTGCTAAATTATCTTGTAGGGAAAAAACAAGCAAACTTGCTATTGGGCAGAAGAGGAAGCACAATGAGAAGAAACCAGTGAGGATTTGCATTGACATCACTTGTCAACTAAAAGTGGGCGGACACCATAACATCATATTATTTATTGGTTGTGAAATTTTGTTTGTCGCTTGAATACTCTCTTTATTTATTTGTTCCTATCAACTTATTCACCCTATTTTCATTTAATTAGAATATAATGAAAGTCAACTATTAGCTGCATTCTCACTTTCATTATCAAAATGTACAAATTAAACTGAATTCTACTACTGCTTACATCTTTCTACTGCTTTTCTTTTAACTTCCCCAATATTCAATTTGGTTCAAGAAACTCAATGGTAATTGTAAATCTGAAACTATATATTTCTTAATTTTTTTATTCTTAGGGTAAATTTGACAGCATAAGGAGTACTCTTGGTGCTCTCTTCTTTTCTTTGTAGTAAGACTCCACTCAAAATGAGTTTTTTAATGATGATTTTGAGATATTTTTGTATGGAAATAATTTAAATTTTGCGATAATTTTGATAAAATTACATACGATTTTTCCTTAATAAAATTATATCATTAGGCCAAGTTATATTATTATATGTTTGAAAAAAAAAACAAATTTTAGGTTAAACTATGGTTGAAACTAATTACACATTTGGATGAATTTGGGGATGAAATTTGAATATTTAAAAGTTTAAGGACTAGTTTAGAATGAGAGTCATGGTTTGGGGAAGAAATTGATATATTCAAAAGTTTAAGGACCAATCTAAAATAAGGGTTTTAGTTTAGGGACGTATGATGCAATTAACTCAAATTTTAATTAAAACTTCACCTAGAAAAGATCATAATAGTATGCTATAGTTTAGCATGTTCATAAATAAGTAAATTTAGAAATACATGAGATGATGTATATCATGTGATGAATCCATGTTTGAATATATTTCAAAACAATGTGTGTATTGATATATGTCAAAGTAGATCACTTATGATGGTGTCAGATACATAATCCTAATGTAACAAAGCATGTTAAATGATAAAGAATGTCAATAGTGTGATATTTAATAATTTATATTAAGAGGTACAAAAATGAAAACTTATTAAATTATTAAAATGAAATTTAACTTTAGTGTTTAGGTGTTAAGTGAATTGTATGATCTTGGAATGAAGTGATAACTTTAACTTATTGTATGTAATTTATATTTTGGGATATTGATGCATGATGAATGTACTTTTAGGTTGAAATATGTTTAGATGTATTGCTTAATAAAGAATTTAACTTATTGTATCAATAACGTGATTTCGATACGAGGAATCCAATAGGTTTTCGAGTTTTACAACTACACATTGAGTTTCTACACTCAAATGGTAAGTTTCGAAATTGGTAAATTCTAATTCATAAATTTTGCTATTTAAACCCCTTTTTGATTATTTTAAATATTTGTACTTGACATGATTAATAATTTAGTCCCTAGATCGGTGTTTGATAATTGTTTGAGAGTTTGATCATTCGGTTTAATAATTTGACATCATTTAAATTCTTATAATTAATATAACATTTTCAGTTTAATTTTCGACTAAACAATATTGGAGTACTATATTATAATCTAATGTGAACCATTTTTATCCTCATCTCTACTGTTTATTTGAATTGCCAAAATTAAGCTTAGAATAAAACCAAGAGTGGCGTTCAATACATTAACTAGTAAATTACCAAAACTAAGCTATTTATCTGAATTACTTGCTAATCCATCTTTCTTTAAATTTTACTTAGAATAAAATTATACTTTTATTAATATTTTGCACATATTTATTATTAAATTTAAATATGACCTAATTATTCAATAGTAAATTATTGATTTAGGCATAACACTTTTTAAAAAAAAATAGTAGCGTTTATATATATTTACTCGACTATAAGTTACTTGCTAATCAAGTTATCTTTAAATTTCAGTCGAGATAATTGGTCCTGCAAGACAAGGTGGTTTATCTTCTTGTGCCACTATATATATTTATGGAGAAAGCGAAAGAGTAAACACGTCGCCCACAAAACACAATTGGTTTTTTCTTTCTATCGTCAGTTGTGTTGGTTTGATATTTCATCCTCATTTTAAACTTTTATTATTTTGTTATTTGTGATCCTAAAGAAGTTCACATGTCTGATGGTGATCATGTCGTTGATTCCTTAGCTGTCTCCGCCCCTGACTACTTGAAATCCCTCAAAACTTGTGATCATGATTCAACAATTATATTCTGTAAATATTGCAACAAAGGGTTCAAGTCCAGAAACGCCATTCATTGCCATATTCAGATCCATAGTCAGTATCAGGCTAGGTCGAAACCTGGAAGAAAACGTTCTCCCCAAGAATATGAAGAAGATGGTTTTGGTTGTTTAGTTAGCAATGAAACTTTCTCATCGATGCAGTTGTTGTGCCTGCATGTGAGAATCCACCAGGGCATCGGTGTTCACCACCCTCCTGCTTCAACGTCTCAAGAAGCCGAGACCACTCTGAAACTAGGGATTGGGAGTATAGTCTCTCCACGTAATGACCAAAACCTAAATTTGTTGAAAGACATGCCTAGGTGCTCTAAAACTGAAAAAAGAGGTTTGAAGAGAACGGCTAGTGACGGTGATATAATCTACGATGCAGTGTCGTTGAGATTCTGTCACGGACCTGACCATCCTCAGATGCAAAGGAGGAAGATGAAGACTGAAGAGAGCACTAGCTATCAAAATATGGATGGAGCTGCTGATAGTGAGAGCATGTTGCTTGCCAGTCCATAGAGCTTGATACCCTATTGCGATACGATGAAGTTGGAAACCCAAAATTCTAACAAGTCCAACCAATCCAGGCACTGCCAGAAAGAAGATCAATGAAGAAGGCTAAATAGAGAAAAATTGTGCTCCAATGTGAGATATGTGGCAAGACTTTTGCAACAGGTCAAGCACTCGGTGGCCACAAAACAGCCCATCGGATATAGGATCCATTAATTGAAGGTGCAGTTAGCACAGGCAAAAAACAAACAAGGAGGGTGTGGTGAAGCGAAAGAGTGTCACCAGCAACTATTGCATGAGGAAGTTCATCCTAAGAAAATGTTGGAATTGATCTCAATATCCCTTATCAGGAGTAATTGTTTCTGTCTTAATTTCTTCTACATCTGAACTTGGGGTTGAATAAATCTTCTTTGTCTAAGTTATAACTTCTTGTTACGAATAAAAATAAATATCATTTTAAAATTTATCTGTCAAGCGAAATCAAAAGTATTGCATAATAATCCATTGCATAGTTATCACTTAAACTAAACTAACGATTTTATTTCATCGTTACAATTGTATTTTACTAATGATTATAACGATAACGTTTTATTCAAGAGGTGCTTTAATTGAATATTAGCATAGGAACATATATTCTTTCAAGACTAAAAATAAAGGGTTGGATTTCTTTCAAAACAAATCACTATCAAACCAAATTTAATTGGTTGATGCAATGATAATAAAAGTGACATTTAAGAAATTAAAAAAAACTTGAATTCTCATACTAATTTTATACAAGAAAAAATCCCATCAAACTTAAAATTTTAAAATTAAAGGAAAAAAAAAACCATGGCCATGTCCTAACTGTCATGGTATCCTCCCCAATTTTCCCTTGGTATTGAACAGAAAGTAACAAGAATTTATATTAATTTTTCTCGTTCTTCTTCGATATAAATGGATAATTCGCGCCGTTTCTTAGTGTGTGCTAAATCATCAATTAGCAGAGGCAAAAGACAAGCAAGGAGGGTGTGGTGATGCTAGAGAGTGCTACCAAGTTCATCCTAAGAAGATGCACGATTTAGATCTTAATATCCTTTGTTTGGAGTCTCTCTTCTCTGTTTCAATTTCAACTTCTTCCTTTAAACTTGTGGTTAAACTACACTTTTCTTTGCATGAATTTCAACGTCTTGATATGAGTAAAAATTGATGTGTATGTATGCAGTTCAACATGTTTCTACTCATCTGTCAATTTCATGTTGCTTTTTGATTAAGTAGGACATTTCCACAGCAATTTTAACCCTTTTAAATCATTATATTAACATCTATCACATACCATGAATTATTTCAAGTGTTTGAATTCTCATTATTTTATTTAAATAAAATTGGCTTAGAATAAGAAGCAAGAGTTGATTTCAATACATTCACAACGAAAAACCCTAATTTAAAAGTTAATTGTTCATCAATCTTTCTAAAAGTTTCACTTAAAACTAAACAATACTGAATAAACTAAATTAAATATTTAATTATCATTATTGCAACAACAATAAAAGCGTAATCAATTGACGAAATATAACGACCAAGCAAAATCCTTTTCAGTTAAGATCCAAAACAGAGATGAATGACTTCCATTTCCATCTGTAAAGTTTAAACAGCGCGTGCAATCTGCAATGTCATTAAACCTGTTTTGGACAAAAATTAAATCAAAGCATACAACATCGTTAAAAATTCAAAATCTTTTTCATCTATGCTCAATCTAGAGCAGAAGCAGTATCTAGCACAGCTCAAGCAAAAAATATATATTATGGCGGGGAAAGCAGGCAAAAAGGTTTATAACATTTCCATGACAGGCTCTTTAACAGCTGTGGGACAAAACAGTGTTGTCTAAATTTTGTTGAATGCAACGATGTCACAGCTCTGAATGTATTCGTTGCGTGGCTCCACTGTGAGGTGCTCCTCTATAAGGGTATCAACCGAAACAAGATCGTCCACAATAGTAAGCATGATCTGTAGTTTCTTAATGCCGTAACCAACAGCAACCAGCTTAGCTGCAAGAAAAGCAAAAAAATATGATCATTAGGATAGGCACTGAATATGATAAATCCAAATTACGATGACTCTTCATGTCATCTAGAATACCCAAGTCTAGAATATTTGAACATGAATATGAAGATACAAATATACTTGTATCAGACATAAACACGTCTGACAGTCACCTTAGAGTCACAGTAACAGATGCAACGGATTAATAGAAATTATAAACCAAACCATACATGCTCCCCACAAAAGCCCAGGCATCTCAACAGATCGAACAGCTTCTTCCAACTTCTTCATGTCAGTCTCATCATCCCATGGTTTCACATCCAAAAGTACAGAAGATTTTCCGCCTTCAAGAATCAACCAATGTCAAAAGATTACTATAATCAAACGGCGAAAATGAATCCTTCATATGAAATAAAAATGGAAGGATCAAATTCCTTTCATTACCACAAATACTTACTTTCTTTCTTCTTAGCTGACTTCTTAGAGGCTTCCCTCTCCTCTGCAGCCTTCTTTTCCTCCTCTGTCTCATCACCAAATAGATCCAAGTCGTCATCATCATCTGCAGCCTGTCAGCATATAACAGGCAAAAACAATTAACTACTAAGCCATTAAAATAATAAAGCTGATAATGAGAGTAAGAATGCTTGAGCATTTTGAAATCAAAAGGCTTCGAAGTTACTAGGACTGTGTTAAAGGCAATTGCTTTTCCTTTCCTTAAGATACATTTGAGGAAGCCAAGGGGAAAAAACAGAGAATTTAAACTATAACAACTTAAAATATTGAGTCGAGAGAAAACCTACATAGGGTTATCCAGATAACTATAAAAAGTTCACAATTCATAGAAATCAAATCATAACTAAAACTGATAGAGCTTGTTGAATAGATTACATAAATAGAATAATTTTCTCAAACGAAATTCATTGTTTAACTGAATATTAGGAAAAATCCCACTGCTCTTTAACTAATTATTCAATCATCCCATAGATACTCCTCTGTTCAACAAAATATTTGCATGTCATTGATACACTATCAATTAAATATTCAGCGGATGGATTCACTCTACCAAACTAGATCTCAAAACAGAACTATGAATTGGGTCCAATAAATCAACTTGAAACACACCTCAGCTTTGGCAGATTCAGCTGGAGCAGCAATGCCGCCAAATCCAACCCCAACAGCTTTCCCAGGGAAGCTAAAAACCATTGAAAACAAAATGGATTTTTCTGAGACATAATCTTCAGATTCAATAAAATTCCCAGAGACACATCTTAACAAGTAAAGAAAAAAATCGTCATCCTTAAAAGGGTATCATGAACACAACAAAATAAATAAGAAACATTACCTGGTGGCAAGTTGCGATGAAACAAAATTATACCACTTGCTAACATTGGGAAACGCATCACCAGGATTCTTCAAAACAGCAGCATAAACTTTTATGTCATCCTTGCTCAGCTTATTCCTGGAAAATAAAATTAAAAAAAGCATAAAGATCTCATTGTTAGTGCTTTAAAATTTGAGAAACAACTATTGAGCTCTGGGAAAATAGTAAGATAATAGGGGTTTACCCAGAGATGTAAGATTTGCCAGAGAGGAAGTCATTAAGGGATTGAAGGCCAGACTCAGCGTGGAAGTTAGAGAAAGTGACGGCCATTTTTTGTGAATTTGAAAGGGGAAAAAGACGTACAAAAGAAGAAAAAGATCTGAGTAAAAATGAATCAAAGCCGGAAAAACGAGCATACAATGAAATGAGTGGTATATATATGGCGGATTCGCATTGTGAGGGTACTAAAACCCTAGATATTATGCAATGTCATATTCCCATTTTAATTAAGAGAAAATAACTTTAGTAGCAAAAAATGTTTTATAATATGTTATTTTAACTAATTTTTTTTGAATTTGTCAAAATGATCAACTAAATCGCAATGCGATCGATAATTCACAACGCGGTTTCCGGTATCGCAAATCAGTTTCCAAATTCGCAACGCGAACATCGACTATCGCAATGCGATTTTCCAAATTCGTTGCGATAGTCCAAGTTCGCGTTGCGATTTATTCCAAATTCGTTGCGATAGTCCAAGTTCGTTGTGATAGTCGAAGTTCGCGTTGCAATTTATTCCAAGTTCGTTGCGATAGTCGAAGTTCGCGTTGCGATTTATTCCAAGTTCGTTGCGATTTATTCCAAATTCATTGCGATAGTCCAAAATCGTAAAGACCGGTGGTATTGCATTTGTTTCTTAAGAATTTTCTCTAAAAGGATAGTATTCGCGCGTACGTGTCGAAGACACGTATTACCACGACCACGACCACGAGACGGACGGCGGCAGCGGCGGCGCGCGAGAGTTCCCCTTGTTCTCTATCACTCAACAAGGAAGTGGGAAAGCCAAGCCTTAAATACCATTTCCAATAGTATTTCCAATACTATGTGGGATTAAGCATTACCAACACTTGTTCCCAATACTATGTGGGATTGAGCCTTAAATAGTGATATTATTTGTGAATTATAGTTAATGACTTTAGTATTTGTATGAAAGTATTTGTGGTTCCTTTAGTTTTCATGCAATTCTAATTTATTTTCAATTGATTGTAATTGCACAATAACAATTTTTTTTATTCTCGCGAGTGATGCAATTTTTTTGAATGTTTTGCTTAAAATTGCAATAATCGCGATTGATTGTAGATTGACTTTTAATTATGACATATTTAGTCGTATAATACTAATGCAATTGGTTGCTGATTCAGTTGTTTTAAGGTGCATAATTGTTAATTGTTTCCTGAATAATCACATAGTATTGAAAACAAGTGTTGGTAATGCTCAATCCCACATAGTATTGGAAACACTATTGAGAATTGTATTTAAGGCTTGGCTTTCCCACTTCCTTGTTGAGTGATAGAGAACAAGGGGGACTCTCGCGCGCCGCCTCCGCCGCCGTCCGTCTCATCTCGTCTCGTGGTCGTGGTCGTGGTAATACGTGTCTTCGACACGTCCGCGCGAATACTATATTTTTAGAAAAAATTCTTAAGAAACAAATGCAATACCACCAGTCGTTGCGAATTTGGAATAAATCGCAACGCGAACTTCGACTATCGCAACGAATTTGGAATAAATCGCAACGCGAACTTGGACTATTGCAACGAATTTAGAAAATCGCAACGTAAACTTGGACTATCGCAACGCGAACTTGGATTATCGCAATGTGAATATGTAAATCGCAATGCGATAGTCGAAGTTCGAGTTGCGAATCTGGAAACTGATTTGCGATACCGGAGATCGCGTTGCGAATTATCGATCGCATTGCGATTTAGTTGGTCATTTTGGCAAATCCAAAAAAAGTTGGTTAAAATTGTATATTATAAGGTATTTTTTGTCATTGATGTTATTTTCTCTTTAATTAAAGCCTTAATACCTCTTTTGGTCCCTTTATTATAGTTAAACAATTAGTTTAACACTTGTATAATTTTTTTATTTCAATTTAAACTTTATATTATTATTTCTTCTATCAATTTAACTCTTGTACTATCAGTTTATTTTTTTCTCTTCTTTTTCTTTTGCATTCTAAACTGCTAATATAATTGCATTTACGGATTTAAAAAATATAAATGTTCAAAGGTTTATCATTCTAAACTTCTTGATATTTGAAGAAACAACGACTAATTGTCCTTTTTTCCTTTTTTGCAAATGCCAGCGGCCACCGCCCAGAAAGTGGCTTCGTTTACTCACCTTGTTATATGCGGATGATAAAGGAGCAGCAACTGTTTGTGCTCCTTTCTTAGAGTACTGTTCCCCCACCTTTGTTTCCGGCGATGAACCGAACCAACTTTGTGTCCAGAGATGAACCGAATGAGGATGACAGACATGTATTTTAGATTTTTTTTTTATTTTTTATTGATAATTGGTTTGTCTTTAAAATTTTATAAATTTATCTCCTATCATTTTAGAAGCTTGTCTCCTAAAATAAAATCTTTCGTGATCATTCTTGGAGATTTAAATTACGGTTGTGATTGTGTTTACGGTTATGTTACTTTTATTGCATTAACGAATCTAACAGGTACTATTGCTATCATTGTAAGTTTTGCGATTATTTGATAACAATTTTGGACAACATTGCTTTTGCTATACAACGGTCGCTATTTCAACAGCGGACCGATATTCCCTGCCCGTGTGAATTATCCTTAGCATTTTTCTATTGTCGCTTAGGGAAGGGTTTTGCCCACTCCACCAGTGTTTCTTCCGAAAAACCAGCTACCTCATCATCCAGTACCCCGTCGTCCCAATAGTAACTCTAATTGTAAGACACTGGAGCTATACATATTACTCTTTGGACTCAGGTGACCTGTGAGGTTTAGCTAGTTCGTTAGTAGAATTGATACCCCTCGTACGAAAACCAAACAGAAAACAAGTATCATATCAATGTACAAAGATGGTGTTTATTCCCAAAATTTTATCTCTTTCATGAACACTAAATGCTTACAGTCCACAGAATTCTGAGAATATCAGAAAACTAAATTTAAAACAATATTTTAAAACTCAACAGTTTTGGACTATATTTGCACCATTGCGATTTTGAGGCCAGTAGGGCCTGAAGCAAGGACTAGTTAGGTTTGGGCTGATCCAGCAAACTTCATTGGCCGAAGAAGATCGATCAGCATGAAGGTCTTGACTTGAAAATAAAGAAAACTGAGAACACGGGAGAGAGAAATTAGTCATTTGCAGAATTTAACCAAGGCCGAGCAACAAAGAAGAAAGACCGAAGTGTTGGAAGTAGGAGAAAGCAGTGCCGAGAGGAAAGATGAGCTCCATTACAACTTTCTCTCCCGACGGCCGAGTTTTTCAGATCGAGTACGCCGCCAAGGCCGTCGATAACAGCGGGTTCGTTATACTTATTTTTCACCAATGACTATAAATACGTCTTTTATGTCAATTAGATTCCAATTTTTTTTTCTTTTTCCCAGAACTGTAATTGGAATAAAATGCAAAGATGGGATTGTTATGGTATGCTTCTTTTTCTTTGATTGCTTATTTTGAAAATAAGTTGAAGTTTCGATAAAATGGATATTATTTTTTTCAGGGAGTGGAGAAGCTGATAGCGTCAAAGATGATGTTGCCTGGGTCTAATCGTAGAATCCATTCCGCTCATCGTTTTTTCCGGAATGGTATGCTCTAATTTCCCCCTTTTTCCCGTTCTTTAGCCTTAATTAATTGCATCTTCAGACACATCGATATTTGTCAACACTAGATTTGAATTCTTAGTCTCTCGCTTTCTCTTCCATATTATATGTAATACTATATTTTAGGCAGTGGCTGGATTAGCAGCTGACGGCAGACAAATTGTGGCCCGAGCCAAGTCTGAAGCTACTAATTATCAAAGGTTTCTTTTTTCTTTTTCTGTACTATCAACTCCCAAAATCAGCTTTATATGTTCATCTAATTGTAAGTTTATTTTTTTGGTGGTGGTGTAGCGTGTACGGAGAACCCATTCCTGAAAGAGAACTTGCTGAGCGCGTTGCAAGTTATGTCCATTTATGTCATCTTTACTGGTGGCTTAAGCCTTTTGGTTGTGGGGTAATTCTCGGAGGTTATGATAGAGATGGACCCCACTTGTACATGGTTGAACCGTCTGGCATCTCCTATGTAAGTTAATTTCTTGCAAATTGACCTTCAAAATTTTTTTTCTCCAGTTTTGTTGCTAGTTTCATTGGTATATGTATCCTTTTTTTCTAGTCAGCTTTTTTCTAGTCAGCAATGTACAGGGTATCGAATAGTATTCCGAAAACGTGATAGTGTAGTCGCGTCACTGTCCGAAACTGGTTTTTATGATTTTTACGGTGGGTTAGGGATTCACGTCGATCTCGGTCGATTGCGCCCGCAATTTAACGGAAAACGGACGATTGCGCCGATAACATGACTCAACAACCGTAATTCAACTGTGAATTGTCATATCTTCAGAAAAACCCACTGTTGATCTCAACGGAGATTTGCCTCTCCAAGTTCTACTTGAAGAACCATCCTTTTCACGTCTTTCTGCAAAACTCAATTGCCGATTCCGCAACAAAGATATTTCGTTGTCCGGTAAATCGATCGGCACCAAGATGACGGTCACGTCGCGAGGTAACTGCAAGCCTGCAAGACGACTAGCTTCACTGTTGACGAGCTTTGACGTGATTGATGACGTGGTTATGGAAGAAGATAAGCAACACACAAAGCTTAAAGGAAGAAAAAAAGGGAAATAGATGAAACATGCAACCGCTCGATTGAAAGCAAGGAAAGGAAAAAAAAAAGAGTGAAACAACATCCACTCTTGAAGAAATAGGTTTAGAATTCTTGATATAATAAAAAATGGGTAATTCACATAATAAGTCCATGTATTCTCTAGGATTTTTTTAAAATGGCCAACACTTTTGCTTCTTTTACAAAATAGTCGCCAAAATTTATGGAAGTTTCAATCTAGTGACTCAACATGCAGCTTTGCTTTACCTCGATTCCCTGCACTATCGGCCGTGAGATCGACGCCCGCAGAAGTCGAGACAGATAACCCCAACTGCGTGAAAATATTCTGGAGTTGCCGATTCTAGTGTTTTTGTTATACTTATATTTAGGATTCTGCCTTTATATTTTAATTTAATACAATTTAATTCATATATATTTTATAATAAGTAAGTTCAAATAATTAATATAATTCATTATTCAAATTCAAATGTTTACTTA